GGGCGGGCGCAGCACCGAGGGTTGCGATCCCGTTGCCGGTCCCGGTCCGGTCCGGGCGCGACACTGAGGGTTGCGGTCCGTTGCCGGACATGAAAAAAAGACAAAAAGGAAACAAACAAACAAACAAAAAAAAACCTTTTAAATTGCATTTAGAAATTTAATATATTCGGTTTTATTTTTACATTCTTTAGTACGGGCGCGACACTGAGGGTTGCGGTCCGTTGCCGGACACGAAAAAAAGACAAAAAGGAAACAAACAAACAAACAAAAAAAACCTTTTAAATTGCATTTAGAAATTTAATATATTCAGTTTTATTTTTACATTCTTTAATAGTCTGATTAACAAACAGATCCTTCACTAGTACATAATTCTTGTAAATCTAATAATTAGACATAAATATGGTAAATCTTAAGTCTCTTAAGTGTTTTTATATTGTTTATAAAACATGTATGATTTTAATTTAAAATCAAAAGCCTAAATCAGCTACATATTTTAAATTAGAATCTCAAATCTGATCTTTTAGAGACTCTGGTATGTCAAATTCTCTTAAACATTATGCATTCCTGAGAAAATGTCAAATTCTCTTACCACAAATGTTAATAGTACAGGTCCAACTGACTTCATCTTCTCTATATTTAATTCTAAATATATCCAGGGATAAGATACATTTTCCCACTAAAGACTTCATTGTGTCATTCCCAATAATTTTGGGATTGCCTTCCCAAGTAAATTTTTGGGGCTTCTCAGTAGAATGAAGTTTCTCAAGTGGTAGAGAACCAGAGAGGCCGTCAGGTGGGACACAGACGTGGTTCCAGCCAATTGGGACACTGATGTGACATACTGAGGCCTGTTTATATTCGCTGTAACAAGGACCCCATAACGAAAGAAAATGGGAGCCACATAGCCCACGTGCCTGGCTTGAGTCTTAACTACCACCCACTCTTCCCTTTCAATGGAAGTCAACAGATGCCGCCCCCCACATTATGACTTATTTCCATCATCGCTTCCATTGTATCTTGCATTCTTTGGCTCTCTTAGATATTTAAATGTCATGTAATTTTATTGTTTTGCAATTTGCTTTTTTCGCAAAATGTTGGTCAGTTTCCCAGATCTACCTCATTCTTTTTGAAGGCAGCATAGTTTTTCGTATGTGGTTATGCCATAATATTTTTTAACAATTCATGCATTAACAGATATTTGTGTTATTTCATTTACGCCATTAAAGCAGTGCCATGATGACCAGGAGTTTTCCTTTATCTTTGTTTATTTTTGCTATTACTTCTCTAGGAAAAAGTTGTAGGAGTGGAATTTCTGGGCCATAGATTATGTGCATTTAAAATTTTGATACAGCCAAATTACTGTCTAGAAAGGTTGTGCTCATTTATATTTCCGCTTATGTCGGACAGCACCCATTTTCCTTAGGGCTGGGACATTGTCCTTGTTGTCCTTTTTCACATTTGCATCCTTCGTGCCTGGTATAACCTGACACAGAACCAGTACCCAGTAACAGGTGACTGAGAGACTAGAGCTCATGAAGAGCACAAACAGCGTGTTTGTGTCTTCAAAAAGTTCATGGAAAGATTCATATTATCTTTTCATTGTATTTCTCACAAACTTTTCGAAGTACCTTTGTATTGCCCTGAGTTAGGCTCTTTATTGTTACTACCGAGGTAAAATTCACATAACACAAAATTAACCGTTTTCAAGCATACGGTTCGGTGGCATTGAGTACATTCACAATGTTGTGCAACCATCACGTCTGTCTAGTTCCAAAACATTTTTATCACCCCAAAGGAAACCCTACCCCCATGAGCAGTTACTCATGAGCAGTTATTCCTTTCTCCCCCCAGCCCCCAGCAACCACCAATCTGCATTCTGTCTCTGTGGATTTTCCTATTCTGGACATTTCATATAAATGGAATCTTTTGATGATATGTGGCTTTTTTTGTCTGGCTTCTTTCACTTAGCATAATGTTTTCAAGGTTCATCCATGTTGTAGCATGCATCTGTACTTTGTTCTTTTTATGGCTGAATAATATCCTTTTTATGGATACATCACATTTCGTTATGTTTTTGGAAGGTTTCACCTGAGCTCAGACCTGCTCTGGGCCCCTCTGGGAAGCTGAGGAGCCCTCAGCAAGTGCTGTACCTTCTTGTCCTGTTTTGCAGTATTCCTGTGCACACGATATTTGACAGCTGCCCAGAAGGTAACGGCATCAGGGCAATAGCCATGTCCCCCGACGCCAAGTATCTGGCAACCATCTCAGATGCTGAAGTCCAGGTAAAGGGCTCTGTGGGTCAGCCTCAGCAAGCTGGCCAACTTGTCAGAGTGTCCCCATGGGCAGCTCTGCTGAGGCTGCATAGCGTCTGTGATGTCCTCAGGAGATGACTGGACTCCACAGCACAAAGTCAGGGCCTCCCTGATAGAGGCTTAGCTCATGGTACTTTGCTTAGTTACCTGAAGTTAACAGTGTCATCACAGGAGGTGTAGGTTACTTCATCAGGCTTCAGAGACCTTGTTATGCTCCTCTCTCTGCTATCACTTATAGAAAGTGTGCATCTGGAAGTGGACTTTAGCAGTGGAAACACCAGCATGTACTCTCGAGCTCCCTAAAGAGTATGGTTTGCAGGTAAGTTCAATTTGAGCCTGGAAACATCAACCTAAAGTTACATTGAAGCCAGGTCAAAAGCTACTTTTAGTTTCACTGGAGTTTTGCTATGGTGCAGTAGAGCTTTTTATTTTTTATTTTAATTAATTAATTTATTTATTTATTGGTGGCTGGCTGGTACAGAGATCTAGCCCTGGACCTTGGTGTTATCAGCACCATGCTCTAACCAACTGTGCTAACCGGCCAGCTCCGCAGGAGAGCTTTTTAAAACACTTTCATATCCCTGATCTCATTTTATCTTTAATAATAATAGCTAATATTTTTTCAAGCATTTATTATTACTTAGATTCTGTTAAATTCTTTACTTACATTATCTCACGTAATACATGCAAACAACCTAGCAAGGAGATATTTTTAAAACACTTTCATATCCCTGATCTCATTTTATCTTTAATAATAATAGCTAATATTTTTCAAGCATTTATTATTACTTAGATTCTGTTAAATTCTTTACTTACATTATCTCACGTAATCCATGCAAACAACCTAGCAAGGAGATATTATAATATCTGTGGAATACTACTATTAATTATTAAATAATTTGCCTGAAGTCACCCCGCTAGCAGCCTTTCTTATTCAAGAAGCATGCTTTTAACTGCTAACCTTGTAACTAACTATTGAGGTATATACACAGTGAAGTTATTATTATTATTCTCAATTTACATGAGGTGACTTGGCAAGGACACCAGAAAGTTAACATCAAATCTCGATTTCCTATATCACTGCTCTCTGCTGTTCTGCGTTGTCTCATTCATCCTTGCATCCTTCATTTGTTATGCATTTATTGAGTACCTAGTATGTGCCAGGCACTAGGATAAGTACATACCTGGCTTGCAGGATCTAAAACCCAAACAGAGGGTCTGGGTGACCAGACTCAAGAAGACACACATCATTACACAGCCTTATTCCCATTCTTCTCTCCTTTCCTCCAACATTTCTCCTACATCTGAAAAAAATGTCCTTAAAGTTCCATTAATACTCATACAGTAACCACCAGCCTTATGTGGCTGTTTAGAGTGGGTTTTTCTTTTTTTTTTTTTCTTTTTGTCTTTTTTCATGACCAGCCACGGATCACAACCCTCAGTGTCGCGCCCGTACTGGACCGGGACCGGAAGCACGGCGGCGCTCCCGCCGAGGGTTCGGATCCCACATACAGACCGGTTCCCGCTCACTGGCTGAGTGAGGCGTGGGAGCAACGCCGAGGGCTGCGATCCCGTTGCCGGTCCCGGTCCGGTGCAGGGGCGACACTGAGGGTTGTCCGTTGCTGGACACGGAAAAAAAAAAAAAAAAAAGACAAAAAAAAGAAAATAGAACATTCCCTAAATCCTAGAAGTTTTTTGTTCCCCTTCGCCAATTTCATCCCCTGCCTTTCTCCCTAAGGTTAACTACTATCCCAAATTTTGTGTTGTGCATTTCCGTGCCTTTCTTTATACTTTTGTCCAGTGATGTGTCTATCTCTTAATACTATCTTGTTTAGTTTCACCTGGTTTTGACCTTTATATATTTGGAATATATTCTATTGCCTCATCTTCTCAACATTGTTTCTGAGATTCATCCATGTTGATTCTTGAGCTATAATTCGTTCATTTCACTGCTGTATAGTTTTCATTGTTTTGAGTATACTACAACTTATTTATCCATCCTACTGATGATGACCATTTTGCTTCTTTTTATCTGTCTTCTACCCTTCCTCCCATGACTCCATTGAATCTGTGCTTGTCATGGTCACTAGTGTTCCCAAATCAAATGAACCTTGTTAAATCTTTTTTTTTTAATTCTTTGTCTCAACAGTAGTTACACCCTTCCCAGTGGATTTACAGGACACTTTTTCTGCTATCTCACTGGCCATCCTTTCTCAGGCTCATTTGTGGATTCTTTTTCTTTCCTTTGCATGCTTTCGTTCCTCAGGATTTGGTTCTAAGAGCTCCCCTTCTTCCTATTCTTCTTGATATGCTTTCTTCTTGGGTATCCTCATTCATTCCCAAGGCACTAAGTGCTATTTTCTTCCATGTTATATCCTAAAATCTTTCCTCTCCCCATTTCCACTGCCACCGTCCTAGTCCAGGCTGCAGAGTCGTCTCTACCTGCCCAACTACAACATCCTCCCTGCTGATCTCTCACTCTTGCCTCACCCCCTAACAATCTTCCCACAGCAGCCAGAGTAATTTTTTTTTTTTGTCTTTTTCTGTGTCCGGCAACGGATCGCAACCCTCAGTGTTGCCCCCGTACCGGACCGGGGACCGGCAACGGGATCGCAACCCTCGGTGTTGCTCCCGCGCCTCGCTCAGCCAGTGAGCGGGAACCGGTCTGTATGTGGGATCCGAACCCTCGGGCGGGAGCGCCGCCGCACTCCCAA